GGTGGAATCTACTGTGAGCAGCTGAGCTGCCTTAGGGATGTGGTTGCTTCCCGTATAGAAGGAGAAGCCTTGGGGAAGGGTCTCTAGCTTGTGGCACGCTTGGGCCCTGCATGTAGCCGTGTCGTCATTCAGCAGCCTGCCATGCTTTGCTGACCTTGGGGCTTACAATGGACTTGAATTAATGGCCTGCCGTGTGGGTTGGTAACATTGGGACTGTGCCATTTTATTTGTCGACCTTGGGCTTGTTAGCTTCAGCAGCCAGTAGCTGCCTGAGTGAAGAGATGCCTCTAGCTTCAGTGGGGTGGGAACAAGAGGCAAAGCTGAAGCCCAGGGCTGAGGGGCTTTCACACAGCCCCTAGAGCCTGGCACTTTGAACTTGGACTTAAAGCCTCCAAACTATAAGAGAATTAACTCCTGTTTGTTAAGGCCATCCCATTTGTGGTATATTCTTGTCGGAGTGGTGCTAGGATGCTAGGGAACCAGAACACCAACCAACCATCATTAGTCATCCATTCATCCATCCATGCCCCAGTCAGCCATCTAGCCACCCTTCTTTCCTTCCTTCCATCCCTCCATCCATCCATTCACCTATCCCACCATCCGTCCATCCAATCATCCATCCTTCCTTCCTTCCATCTACTCACTCTTCTTCTCATCCATGTTTCCACCCATCCATCCAACCCCATCCATCAGTCTATCCACCTACCTATCCACCAACCCAACCCCATCCACCTACCCACACGACCACACACCCACCAATCCATCCATCCTTCTATCCATCCATCCACGCCTCCTCCCATCCATCCATGCACCCATCCTTTCTTTCTTCCATCTATCCACTCTTCTTCCCAGCCATCCATCCATCCATCCATCCATCCATCCCCTACCCATCAGTCTATCCATCCACCTACACAACTCTGTCCACCTCCCCAGCCATCCACCCATCCAACAATAGATGTTTAACCAGGCACTTGAAATAAAATAGAAAATCAGACACGGTTCCTGCACTCAAGGAGCTCACTCCAAATGTGTGTGTGGAGATGACAGTCAAACGTGACACCAGGCGAGAATAACACGCTGCAATGCATGCTGGGAAGAGAGGCACAGAGATCTGCGAGTGGAGGTCAGTGGCCCAAACTGGTCTAGGGCACAGGGTGGGGGCCTCCACTCCAGCAGCCCCATTTTCCCTGAGCTCCACGCTCTGCACTTCTCCAGCCTGCTCTGTCCAAGGGGCTGACCTGTGCAGAGTGCACCCACAGGCTCCACCCTCTGGCTTCTGGCTGGGTTCAGCCAACGGGAGGCACC